TACCCACAGAAGTATTAAAGCTAAAGGCTAAAATAACTGCTTCCAGTATGCAGATGGGAAAAGGAGAAGGAACAGTCGGACATTCTCCCTGAACACAGCCGTCGGAACAGTGTATCTACTCAGGACAACCAACCCGTTGGCATTTACTGCCCCTGCACGGCAGGTGCTGGGATCGCCCGCGGCAGGAGCAGAGGGTGACTTGAGAAATCAGAATACCAGGGTGAGGGCACGCAAGGCTCGAGGGAGAAGACACCAGCTCAAGAGGGAAGGAGGAGTGCAAATCTGAAGTTCCCAAGGAAAGCGTCTCATGCTTCCTTTAAAGCAGTGCTTGTGGACTTTTTTGCTTTTGGACACTTCAATTCTTTCCCATGTGACCACGTATATTGTGGATTTAGGTCTAGTGATGACAAACTTGTTTTTCAAAGCTGTCTTCCTAGACTTCTCAGGCAGAAGAAAATGAATTTTAAAATTATGCCTACTTCCCCATGTTATGAAGTCGCAACTCTCACTGGCCATGAGCGAGCATCGTGTTGTAATCACAAACAGAAACAGATGAGAACCCAAACCTCCCACTCAGTTCCTCTCCGGTCACCAGGACGGCCCCAGTGATCCCCAGGGTTTAATGCTTTTAGGCATTAAAAGTATTTAAAAGCCAGGAAAGGGGACGATGGAGACAACAAAGCAGCCAGTGACCTGGGCGGCCGTGCCGCAGGGGTCCCTGAGGAATTGGCGCGGTGACGGCAGGTGGGTGCCGCAGTAGTGCTTCGTCCCCATAAGGCCTTGCTGTTGTGACTTCTTGGCTGCGGTCTGCCTGGGCGTCCCCGGCGGCGGCGGCGGCCTCCTGGGGCTCGGGTGCTGCACGTTGTTAAAGACGACGGGGATCGGCTGCTGCATCAGCATCTTTAAATAAAAGAGAGGCATGAGTTGTCGCAGCTCATACGGTGGTTGTACTGCCCGGGAGATACTGTCTCTGGCTCCCAGGCTGTCCCTGTCACCATATGTAACACTGCAGCAGCAACAGCTCTAAATCCAGCGGCAAAGCAAACCAGGAATAACAGAAAATCAAACATTACCTTGTGCCCAAATATTTATTCAGAGCCATGACCGTTCCAGCTCCATTGTGCCTGTTGCATTTTGCAGGGATGGCACTGGGGATCCAGCAGCGTTAACCAGCCACCCAACCGCCAAGCTTTTTGTGCAGGGGAGACTTTGGATTAGCTTGGGATTGCTTTTTTCTAAATCATGAAAATTACTGATTCAATACTTTAGCAGATACTGATGCCACTCATCTCTCAGGAGACACAACTCCCACATCTGAGACCAACTGACCAATTTATCCAGAGCTTATTTCAAAATGCTTTTACCACTGACAATTTTGTTACCGATCTACGTGCTCAAAGGAAAAGCAAATGGTTTGTGGGTTTGGGAACCCCGGGGGCAGCAGGTACCTGCAGGTTGGAGTCCTGCACTAGCTGGAGCTGCTCCTTGATGACATGGAGCTCTTCTTGCTGTGTCTTGATGTCAGCTTGCAGTATGCGAGTCCTCTCCTCCAGCTGCTCTTTCAGCTGATGCATCATCCCCAGCTGGGTCGGGAAATGGTACACTGGCTGCGGAGAACAGAGAACAGGATCACGGGGTAGGACCAGTCCTGCCACTCACATTCATAGTGATGCTGGCTTCAGAAAAACGACTGCTTTTCAGCTTTTGCCATAGAAAATATGATGCTGACAAAAAATGGCGATTGCATATTTAACCACAGTACCACTGTACCTCCAGAGCAGCAGCACAACTGGCTCGTACTCAGTGCCTCACTCCAGATCATGGTCTGTTCAATTTCCACGCAGGTGTAGTGTCTATGCACGGGACTGCCCTGTCCCTTCAGTGTGACACCCTGCTGATTTTGGACCACTTGCATTTTGTGGCAGACACTGCACGCAAACCCTTGCACACCTCCAGGCTGGGCTTTCAGTTGTGCTGCTAATTACATTTGTCAAATGCCAGGCTCAAGTTAGGTTGTAATCCCACCTTGGGATCCATCCTTCACGCCTATGGCTGTCTTCAATCCCTGTGTTATAGCCTGAATGTTTATTGCACTGACCTCAAAGCTTTGTGAGGATGGGCCTCATAATTAGGTTTTTTGACTCCCATATTTTTCTTTTTTTTTTCTTTTTCTGCCCTAACTCAAACCTTCCATGACATCCTCTTCCTCTACCAGGGGAATAAAACCCTTCAGCATCGTATCAGCCTGTAGTTAGTTGCCAGCAACACAGAGATGAGGCTTCAGCAGCCCCCAATGATTTTGACAAGTGTAAACCTTCTTCTAAGCTATTTTCCTGGGTGTCCTACCTGCTCTGTCTCCTCGCTGAAATAAGTGGCTGCAATAATTTGGTTGCAGGTAAATCTCAGTAACAGCAACAGAAAGGGCACTGAAACCTTGCCCCCACGCTGGGACCAGCCAGCAAGGAGGTAAGAGCAGTGAACCGGAGCCACCGAGTCTGCCCTGTGCGTTTAACAAAAATAAACCACGTACCATCACAGTGTGCTGAGAAGGGACTACCGGCTGAGCCACAGGATGCTGAGGGAGGTGTTCACCAGGGGCTTGAGGAGTTGCTATGGCCTAGAAATGAAAACTTTGCCTTACTGTAGGTCCATAGCACCTCTAGCGCAGAGGTGGTGCAATATCAGCTCATACCAGTGATGAACAAGTGCAGGGAACTAGACAACTCCACGTGGAGATCTGAGGATGAGTCTGAAGGGAGAATTTAAACTCCTGCATGCTCCCTGCTAATCGCAAATCCTCAGTGTCGGCATCCATTTTTGAATAAAGGCCATTTCATGTGCACAAACCCCAAGAAAAGCGGGCTCGTGGTGTGAGAAGGTGTTTGGCCTGGAGGAGCAAACTGAATCCTGAAAGGAGGCAGCAGAGGGGCCCGTAGCAGCTCTCCACCAGCAATGTTCCCCACAGCCCGGGAAATCCCGTGCTCAGGCCCCGCACTCTCAGACGTGGGATCCAGCCCCTCTGAGGGCGAGATCCAGGTTTGTCAAGCTCGTTTCTTTACGGCAACAGAAAGGCTTTTGCTCGCTGTGACCACCGACCTGAGCGCTTCCGGCTGACGCCAGCCGCAGGGCCGCCTTCTCCGCCTG